AATATTCCTTTCTCGGCTTCACCACAGTTCATGTACCCCTTTAGGATTGTGCGCTTGCAAGCGCTGTCTGGACTAATACCAGCTTCCGACATCTTGTAGTAGATCCTTCTTGCCTCATCCATCATTCCAGCTTTGACAAAAGCATAGAGTAATGGACTCAAATGGATTTGAGAAAGTGAAATGCCTTTCTCTTGCATGAGAGTTATCATTCTCTCTGCTTCTTCGTACTGTGAACTCTCGGCATAGGCTTGAATTAAGCAGAGGTATGTGGATGAGTTGTCGGTAAAGTGGCCATTTCTCTCCATTGCTTGCAAAAATTTATTAACCTCGTGATGGAGTCCTCTGGTTGCACAAATTTTCACCAGCATGTTGTAACTAGTCTGCAAATGTTCCCAAGCATCGGGCAATATACATTGTTAGATCACTAGATTTAAAAATATCTTAAAATATTAAGCCATTGGATAGACCTACCGTTCCAGGTTTAATCCCTTTCTTCTGCATTTCACTGAACAACGCCAATGCCTCACTCATCTTTCCTGGAACAGGAAGAGAAAGTTTCATTTGTTACTGTTACTAACCAGAATCAAGATCATTTAATCTTAAATAGAGTTCATGTGTGTGACAAGTTGTAAATCATATTAAACATGAACCAAAACATAAGGATATATTTCTCTCGATAAATACATACCAGCCTTCCCATAATGCATGATCATATTTGTGTATATTTTCTCGTCCAGATACAATCCGGACCGGCGAGCACTGTTGAAAACCTCAATTGCTTTGTCCACCTGCTGACCCCGCCCGTACACACTGCATCAACACACCAACATGACAACCAACTTGCACGAATATTAATCATAAGGAAGGCAAATCTAGTGCCTTTTTACCTGATCATTGTGTTGTAGGTCTGAATCGAACAAGGAACACCTGAGTTACACATCCGCTCATATATTTCAGATGCACACTTCAGTTTACCTGTGGCAACATACTTTAGTGTTGGTTACTTCAACTAAAATTAATAAACAATCTGTTCTACCTGCTTCTAGCATTGCCTTGATAAGGGTATTATAGCCCACGGTGTCAAGCTCCATGTTTTTCTCAAGGCAGGTCTGTGATATATCTTCTGCTTCTCTGTGTTTCCCTACAATTAGGATAACAAATTTTCTCACAAAATATTTTAACATTGCGGTTAATAAGAATACATAACGTTTATTTTAAGCTCAGTCTGCAAGTAGTTGGTTGAAATGTAACAGGTATATATATCAGTTCTCAACTTTAAGAGCATTCCAAAAAAAATCCAGGCATGTGCTATATAAGATCGGATTATTCACATTTGGGGCGTTGAGTTTCTATAGGTTATCTGGGAAGGAGAGAGTTGCAATTTCCCTTTTTGACATACCTCGATTTGTTAAGGCATTTACAAGTATGCTGATGGTAACAGGACCAGGGTCACAGCCCTTTTCTGCTGTTTCCATGAAGAGTCTATACGCAGCTTCAAGCCAGCTACATCTGACATAAGCATCAATCATGGAGTTTATAACAGATTTCCCCTGAGGTTTAGACTCTCCTGCTGCAAGGTAAAGCCGTTTGGCCTCTTTAAGCTTCTGTTGCTTCCCATATACAGCAATCAAAGTCGCAACTGTTTCCTCCTCTATACTGAGTCCTAGTCTGATAATCAAATCCGCAAGAATTTCTGCTTTAGATATATCACCTGCATAAGAAAATGAAAGTAATCTTCAACAAATATATCTTAACAAACGAAAGCAGATTAATGTTTTATACCTTCTCTAACAAAGCCACTTATAACTCTGTTAACAGCTGCTGAACCAAGATCAGTCTTGAACATTAGACTCAAGATTCCTTTAGTCTCATTCAGGTTTCCCTGTTTTAGCCGCAAATTGAGCAGCATTCCAAGAGCCGTGACGTCAAGTCGACTCACGTTTATAACTGCTTCGTCTTTATCCTTATTGCGTTCACTATGCATAGCCTCTGCAAGCGTTTGTACAAATCTGTTATCCTTAACCACAGCCTCTCTACCCATTTTCTCCACCAGCTCTTGAGCTTCTGCTACCATTCCCTCCTTGCAATACACTCTCATAACCGTCTTGTAAAGCTCTACATCAAAGTGCACTTGATCAGCCATTATCTGCTTGATAAACCCCTTAGCTTTCTCTCTTAAACTGAGTCTAGCATACAAATTGAGCATGTCGTTACAAGAACTAGCATCAGGAAGCCCAGTCTTTGATAAACCTCGAAACGCATCCTCAGCAGAGTCTACGTTCTGTATCTTAGCGTAACACTGTAACATGACAATATAGGCAAATCTAGAAATGGGAATATCTCTCGTCTTCATCATCTCAATGACATCTAATGCTTTGGCGACATTCCCCGAATTCAAATGGACTTGAGACATTGCCAAATACGTTTTCTCATCAGAGAGTATATTCAGACGTTTAGTCTCTTCAAATATAGTCTCTGCATCATGGAAAAGTCCAAGCTTCCCATAGATTCTGATGATCAACCCGCGGATGACTTCATCAGCTGGTATTTTAAACCTTTCCATGTCTGCAAAGAGAGCAAGCGCTTTCGGGTAATTCTCAGTTTTGTAATATAAACTCAACATAGAAGAACACGTATAGTTACTGGGAGTGATTCCTAGAGATCTCATATCCTCGTACAATCTAAGAGCCTGATCCCAATCACCAGCCTTCACACATAAGCTAATAACCGAACTGTAAGTTACTTCCTCTGGAACAAAACCTAAGCTCTTCATCTCACCAAAAGCCTGCAACGCATCCTCGTTGAAACCTTGTTTAGCATATGAGCTCACAACCAATGTATACGTGAATTCAGTAGGTGGCACACCTCTCTCAACCATTTCTAACCATAGATCAATCACTTTATCATGAAGTGACTTCTTCTGAAGAGAAGAGAGCATGAAATTGTAGACAGAAGTAGAGAGGGTTATTCTCCTTTCTTGAACAGCTTTGTAGAACGTTAACATAGCGTTATGCCGTCCCCACCTGGCGTATGTGCACAGCATTGTACCACAGGCTACTGCATCAGGTTCACATCCCACTTCAAGCATCTCCAGAAATGTTTCCTCGGCTAGCTTTATCTTCCCGACTTGTCCATATAAACGCAAAACAATCGTGTAGACAACTACACTTGGACGGTAGCTCAACTGTTGACACAAAAAACTATCACCAGATATTCATTAAGAGTGAAGTTAAGACCACGGTTCTAGCAAAAACGATTTTCTTCAAAGCCGATTTATACTACTCAAATCGGTCTAAATTGTTATAAATCAGTTAAAATCAATCTTAAATCCTGTTAATCGTGTAGACAACTACACTTGGACGGTAACTTAAGTGTTGATATAAAAATCTATCACCAGTAAGAGTGAAGACCATGGTTCTAAAAATCGGTTCTAACTGAAACGATTTTCTTAAAATCGGATTTATGCTACACAAATCAATTTAAACTGTTCTAAATCTTCTAAAATCGGTTTAAATCAATTTAAATTAGTCTAAATAAATTAAACAACAATGTTGGTACAAATTCACATTTTATTCTAATTTTTGTATATATAATAAATCAATAATTCGTTAACAACTCAGCCTAGCCTAAGCACTGAATACTCCACCTAGTAGCTAATTTTCTACAAAACGTCTAGTTACTGTCTAGCGAATCATTGAAAATTGGTTGAGACAAAACAACTCAGTTAACTAACTTAACTTTGCTTGTCTGAAGCAGAACAATTCTATAAAAAGCGAAGCTTGAAACTTTAAAAAGACGAACAGAAGATAACCTGCCAGACAAAACAACTAACTTAACTCTGCCTGTCTGAAGCAGACCAATTCTATAACAGAACAAAGCAAAGTTTCGAACTTTTTAAACAAGAAGAACAGAAGAGAGAAACCTGAAGCTTCATCCAAGCGAAGAAGTCTCTGACTTGTCTCCACCCTCTCTGCTCTTTCAGAACAACACACATATCTCTAAAACTCAGCTTCGCAACGAAGCTACCCATCACCACTCTCATATCACCACCTTCTCTCCTCTGAGACAAGCCTCTCACTTTCTTAATCGCAGCTACCACGTGCTTCCCGTACATCTGACCGTTCCTGTCATCTTCAAGATACTGAACCATCTGCTCAGGGGTGCGTTTGATCCACTTGGGAGTCATGGCGTGAGAGCCTTGGTTCCTCCTCAAGGTGCTGAGATACTGCGCTTTCTTCTTTATGATTCTCCTTGCGTCGTCGTCTGATAAAGGGTGTTTTGGCCTCTCGTATCTTGGTTTTGGTCTCTCCGGGTTGCCGTCGCTCAGTGACCACGGGTCGGGTCGGACTCCGGGTAAAGATGAGCACTTTATTGTTGATTTTCTTGAGGGTATTTTGGGAAGAGAGATTGAAGGGTGGAGGTGAGTTGTGGAAGTGAGGAAGTCACTCTTCATGGTTACCCGGCAAGAACCTCGCCGTATCAGCAATTTATAGAGGCTGTCCTGTAATATAGACCACGGATTATCCGGTTTAATGTGGTTTATGTTTGTCTGCAGTCATAAATTATCTTTATTTCCGGTTTATGATTGGTTAGCATTATATGCGAGACTCATGTTTGTCTCTTTATGTAGGCTTAAGTTTATCCGGTTTAATGTAGGCAATGGATTATCCGGTTTATTATGGGTTATTGCTTCTGTTCTGTTTTTTTTTTTTTGGTACGAAACAAACAGAACTATGGATAGGCACAAATGCATAACCTTGTGAAAATATTTGCTTCAGAAAAGTAAGTCTGATCTTCCTAAACACAAATGTTACATCCTAACTTCACATCACAATCCACAAAGTTATTGCCCCAAAAGAAAAAGAGACTCGTTGCGTTAACAAAAGAAAAGAGACTTATATTATGTCTTCTTTGAGTTGAAACTGTGTCCCTCTAGCAGGAATCTGCTCTACCTTATAACCGAGTCCGCAAATCATTTACATCTGGACTGGGACAATGACTCAACCATTTCTCCCACGTTTCTTTGAGTTCCCTGTGGTGGCTTTTGCAGGTTTCTTTGGTGTAGGCGTCGTCTCATCAGATACACAAGATCCATTTGGCTTTCCACAGGATGCACCCCTCTTAGCACTCTTCCTTGAAGTTTCTTGTTTGTTTGTTTCACTCACAAGACGAGGAGATTTTCTCAGTTTCAAGCCATCCACTGCTTTGACACTCTTCTTTCCCTTCTTCACTGAGTCCTTTTTCTGATTAGCAACGTCGAACATATCTTTCGGTAACGCAGCAATGTCTAATTCGAAGCACCCTGGAGGAACACCTTCACTCTCCCTTCCAGTCATTTTGAACGACGGGACTTTGTGAGAAAATCTAAGCATCTCGTTTGGTGGAATATGAAACTGGAGAACTCCACACTTTGCATCTCGGTGAAATAGGGAGACAAACCCTTCCACTTTTCCTAGGTAGGCCACTCCAACGCCATTCACATCGTCAAAATCAAACAAAACTTCTACAAAGTCATATTCATAAACTACTTTGTGATTTTCCGAGCTACCACTCTTCCAACTGATATCCCAGCCTCTGAAAACAGCCCAAACTTCCCCTGTTCTTGGATAAATGACGATGTTGTTGTCACGACTTCTGTGAAGCATCTCACAAGAAAAAATAAAAGGGTCGTCTACTTCCTGTGACTCACTACCTTGGAATATTCCACAAGCAACGGGGATGGAGTTTTCATTGTGAACCTGTAAGGGGTCAAGCCACATAATCTCCAGCTTGAATTCAGAATCGATCACTTTTCTAATCTGAGCATAAAACCGAGGCATACCATCAGTGGGATCATACAGAGACCACACCTGGTTGACAGCAAAACAGCTTGTTGTCAGTTCAAAATTATGAAAGTCTTGATCAGGTGAATCCTGCGTAATCCCTTCTCCACGTGCTTCATTTCCTTTGCTCTTTTTGTCACATGAAGGGGAAGAAAAACCACCAGAATCACGATGTTTGGATGATCCATCATTTGATTTTGACCTTTTTGGGGCAATGTTTATAGCATCACCACTTTTTCTCTTCTCTTCGCAAGAAGCTTGCTGGCTTTTCCGTGGAGATTTCCTCCTGTTATTATCTTTTGGATATGATTTATCCTCAAAAACATCAGAGAAGGTAACATTGGTACTCTCCTCCGGCTCCTCAACAATCTTTCTCCTCTTCTTTTTGTTCTTGCTCATTGAAGGTGCTTGACTAGATCTTGAAACTGATTCATAAGGTACATGTTTTGATGCACTTTGTTCTGGTTCTGCAGCCTTAGGCTGTGGCTTCAAACCATCAATTGATTTTGACCTTTTTGTGGCAGCGCTTATAGCATCACCACTTTTTCTCTTCTCTTCGCAAGAAGCTTGCTGGCTTTTCCGTGGAGATTTCCTCCTGTTATTATCTTTTGGATTTGATTTATCCTCAAAAACATCAGAGAAGGTGACATTGGTACTCTCCTCCGGCTCCTCAACAATCTTTCTCCTCTTCTTTTTGTCCTTGCTCATTGAGGGTGCTTGACTAGACCTTGAAACTGATTCATAAGGTACATGTTTTGATGCACTTTNTGCTGGCTTTTCCGTGGAGATTTCCTCCTGTTATTATCTTTTGGATTTGATTTATCCTCAAAAACATCAGAGAAGGTGACATTGGTACTCTCCTCCGGCTCCTCAACAATCTTTCTCCTCTTCTTTTTGTCCTTGCTCATTGAGGGTGCTTGACTAGACCTTGAAACTGATTCATAAGGTACATGTTTTGATGCACTTTTTTCTGGTTCTGCAACCTCAGGCTGTGGCTTCAAACCATCAGTTTTGGGCCGCTCAGCTGTATGTTTCATCTTTCCCTCACCTTCCTTGGGTTTACTTGACTCCCCACAGTTCATCGATTCTTTCTCTAATTGGGATTTTCTTACTTCAGCCTTTTGGTTCTCACCTCCTCCACCATTCTTGTTGGGTTTCTCTTTGGAAGTTTCTTTCTTATCCACCTCAGCTGCAGCATTTCCTTGTTGAGGACCAGTAGACCCCACGTTTCTATGTGCACTTCCACATTGTAAACCTGAGTCTGCATTCAACTGTCTGCTAACAACCCGTGAATAGATTCTATGGTTGATATCATACTGCGTCCGTTTCTCCTTGTCACCAAGCAATCTGTTAGCTTCCCCAATCAGCTTGAAAGCAGCCTCTGCACCGGCGAACTGGTTTTTGTCAGGATGGAGAAGCAAAGCGAGCTTCCTGTACTGCTTCCTGATGGTAGCATCCTCACAAAAATGCATAGCTTGAAGAATACCATACCAGTTCTCGAGACCGTTGATCTTCTTCTCGGCAGAACAATGAACATCACAGACGGCTAACATTTGTGGTAAACCATCAAGACCTGAAAAGAGTCTCTGAGCCTTAGTTACAAGCTTCTGAGCCCTGGCGAAATCACCTTTCCGCATCAAATCCTCAGCCATTTTCTTCGCCCTAGAGGCCTCTTCCTTGTTACAGTCCATTCTCACTTAGAATCAGCTAAATCTCAGAGATTAAAAAAACTCAAGGTCATTTCTGCAAACAGAAAGTTCATTGCAATGTTAGTTCCTAATCTTGACTTGTCTTAGTGTGAAAGACAAAACTAAAGCTTACCAGATAAGAGACAAGAGCAAATGCGAGATCTTTACACAGTGCGCTTCATCTTTCATCAGACAACAAACTCAAGACCCCAAGGGTAAATGTAAATCAGTCTGAAAGTTCAGATATTATTAACCCTGCAAAACGAAAATACAACAAGTAACAAAAAGAAAGCATAAACGTCGAAGTTAAGTTGCAAAGCTAAGAGCTTTAAGCTAAATTTTTTTTTTTTTTGTGATTCTAAACAGAGCAACGATAGCTTCGAGTCGAAACAGTGAAAGGAAGAACCTTTAGCTCTGCGTAAGAAGTAGAACAATGCTAGTCACAAGTTTTGAACATACCTTAAGAAGCTTGAAGCTGAAACCCGGATTGCTCAGGAAGATACGGAGAATAAAATAAGCCCTAAATTTCCGAGTGGGAGGGGGCAGCAACTCGGTTGGTCTTTGTTTATTTTAATGGAAACAAATGTTTTTTTTTTTTTTGCTTCCTAATTTAATGTTGTTGACTTTTTTGGCAAAAATTTTAAACTAGCGTTCAAAATTTCAAATCTTTTCAAAAATAATCCAACTTTCGAACTTAATAATTTTTGAAAAGATTTAAAATTTTGATTAGTGTAGTGAATGATTAAATCAAAATACTAAATATTTGTACGAAGTTCTTTTCTATCTTTTTTTGAGCAAATTCATACCAAGTTCAAGAAGAAGAAAACTAAACTATTTGTTTGCAACCTTGTTACTCCTGCTTATCATTTTTGAAAAGATTTAAAATTTTGATTAGTGTAGTGAATGATTAAACCAAAATACTAAATATTTGTACCAAGTTCTTATTTATCTTTTTTGAGCAAATTCATACCAAGTTCAAGAAGAAAAACTAAACAATTTGTTTGCAACCTTGTTACTCCTGCAAACACACCAGTAAGTGCCCACAACAAGCTATAAAGCACTACAATTTTTTCCGATAAAGAGGATCAAAATGTTGATAAAACTAGAGAGGTCCCTCTGGTTGTGACAACTGACTTTGATTCTTGTTGGAGTTAGAAGTTCCGGTGAGACCTCTGTTGTCATGATCAACAGAATCAGACTGTCTTTCATTCAAGGAATGGCCACCACCATCCCCGTTAGAGTGATTGCTTGGGGACGAAGTAACCTGTACTGAGCTCTCTTTGTTATCTGAAAAGCTGCGTTTTTGTCCTCTCTTCATGATACTCGTGGAGCCAGGTTCGCTCACGGAGGAGGAGGAAGCAGCTGTCGTTGAAGGTTCCAAAGGTGTGTTGCTGGTTACAGCACCAAGCTCTGCTGATGTTGGTGGTATTACCGTCTGGGGTTGTTTCACTGTCGAGCCGGGTTTTGTTGCAGATCCATCAGATAGGGTCGTTCTTCTAAGTTTCGAAAGTGACTTGATTTGTCCCTCGAGGTCTCCGAGTTGGAAGTCTGATTCGAGTTTGTGACGCAATATGCATCTAATGGCTGCTCTTAGTGATTTTATCTGCCTCTCTATGGCTGCAACCTTTACAGTCTGCTTTGTGTTACAAGATGTTCTCTTCTGATAAGAAGTTGAAAGAAAGAAAGAAAGAAAGGAGGGGAAGTTACCTGTGCTGCCGATTCGTTCTTGGCGTCACTATATGACTTCTCCGCAGATTCCTTTGTAATCCTCAAGGAATCGTTTATGATAGCGGAGACAGGTTGGAATCTATGGACCATACCAAATGAGTATATGTAGTCTACTGACTTGAGACGATGCCCAGTTTTTATGAGTTTTTTAATGAAGCCTGCCCAAGAAAAGCCATATCAACAAAGTTCTAATATAAGGCATCTCTCTGAACTGACTGATTCTGATTACATATCTAAAGCTTAGAGGTTTCAAAAAGTGGGAGAGTAAAGAAGTGGGAATTACCTGGAACAGCGCTGTCCAACCCGAGGAACTGGCAAAGATCAGGAGATACAGTTTGCCAATAAGAACTGTCGAGTAGACCTAGAAGATCATGAGCCTTGAACTCTGACACAATTCCGAAGATACCTAGAAACTTTAGGAAACAAACGACTTCCAATTCATCAGTCTTACTCTTTGAGACCTTTTCTTTCCAGTGAACCGCAAGTTTCTTCGCATCGGCTTTCATAGGATCTTCATTTTGAGGCGGGAGCTTCTTCAGCTGATCCAACAACAAGGAGCAACTATCTGAAGTAACCAGCAGTTTGAACTCGTAGCCCTCTTCCCGGGTTTTAGGACAAAGAGCCATGGATGTGTCTAGAACAAGCTTTGCTGGATCTGAAGTGCATTTAATAGCATTAAAGATATCACTCTCCTTTGGAGGTTGCTTTTCTAATAACTTCCTTAATGTGTCCGCGTTGATTGAACCAGAGAGAATCTTTGGCTCAGTTTCGGTGCTTAATGGATAAGTTGCGTTGGCATCTGGCTGATGATGATTTACTCCTGATTCCTCAACCTTCTCCCCGGAAGGAGCGGATACAACCTTGACCTGATTCACTGGATGATCCAAAGGCATAAGAAAATGTCAATTTATGGCTAATCACTTATCTTAAAAACTTCTGTTAAAGTGAAGTCTCAAATTTCTTGAAAGACAAAAAAAAAATGTAAAGAAGTCATGGAGGAATGATTCCTGTGCATTTCATAAAGCAAAACAAGAACCACAGGAAACGGAAACTTAAAAAAAAAAAAAAGTGTTACATGAATCATGATGCAAGTCAATGAAACCGAATGGCATAGAAACGTAGGGTCTAGCTTCTAATTTACGAGTTTGATAGAGAATCAACATACCTGTTGTAGAATTCTGAAGAGGAGTTATTGGTTCGGTTAATCTTTGACGTTTAGCTTCATTCTTCTGTTCATAGGGAATGACAGAATCAGCTTTAGAATTTTCAACAGCATTGGCTGTGTTCTGTCCTTTTTCACAACTTCTGTGAACTGGTTCCGTTGCTCTCGGTGCTGAATCCCCCTTCGCCAGTGCACTCAGCAGTGTAAGAGCATAATCAGAAAATAGGGACTCGGCTTTCTTCTCTCTGATACAGTCAAGTGCCATGTTTGCATCGGCTTTGCTCTTCTCCCACTTCGCTTTCTACAATAAGTCAAGACAACAAACTTAATCAACTTACACCACACATGAACACACATAATAAGCAAAGATTGAATAGAACCAGAGATATATAGATAGATAGACAGAGAGGTTAGCTTACCTGCGCCGCCTCCATTACGTTTCCAGTCTCATGAGATACGCGGGCAACTCTTTTTAAGGATTGCAATAACTCTTGCATAACTGCTCTTGGTCGCCATCCTTGACAAAGGTGAGATGATTGGAATTCACAGATGAATCTCAGCGTTGCAAGGTACTCACCGTTCTTCTTTAGAGTTTCAACCACACCTGCGGAGCAATTCACATTAAGTTTCATATTTTGGGCAGTAACTACCGTTAATCAGGAAATGGAAAGAGGTCACAGGGGAATGTTTCATAAAGCAAACCAAAAACCTCATGAAACAGAAACAGAAACATATTAAAGTATTACATGAAACATGAAGTAAGTTGACATTTAAAAAAAAAACTACAGTTAAAATCAGTCTAACAAGAAGAAGAAGGCATTACCAGAAACATAACCTTGTAACCCCAGACGCCGAAACAGTTTCGGGGCCTGCTCATACAGAAGGAAGCGCTTCAAAAGGTTAAAAAGCATCTCACGAGTAGTCCCAGAGGCCCAACCATAAGTAGCCACAAACAACAAGCAACCTAAAACCAGCGAGTCATTGTTCGGATTGGTTTTGGCCTTAACCATCCAGTCAACCCCAAGTTGACTCGCTTCCTGTCTCATTTCCCGTGTGATACGCAGTTTCATCTGCGTCAGTTTCTCTAACAGAACAACGCAACTTTTAACAACACTATCATCAGCTTCTCCAAAATCTTTATTCAAGTAATCCTTAAAACACACTTCTAAAGCATCCAAAACCAGCTTTCCTGGGTCCAAATACGGAATCACCCTTGCCAACTCTTCGTTTCTCTTAACCAAATAATCTGCACTCAACGTCGAACAGTTTGTAGGCATTGTAACACTTGTCCCCATGGTTTTAGCCAACAGTGAAACTAGTGGCTCAAACTCAAGTCTTTCTCCGGCTCTAACCCCTTCTCTCCGTTGCTGCTGTAACTCTTTAACCTTTAATTCAAGCTCTTTAGCTTTCTCCTCAAGCTCCCTAACCTTCTCATTGGAATATTCCTCCACAGATTCGATCCTCTTTGTAAACACTTCAAACTCTTCCCTCCTTTTCTCCACCCCTCCCAAACACAAAGCTTCCTCCTTCTTCTCCAAATCACTCATTTTCGCTTCAGAAGACTCACGAGCCGAGCCTACCTCCTTCTCCTTCCTCTCCAGCTCCAAAGTTCGGACCTTTATAGACTCCTCCATCGCTTCCAACTCCTTGGCTCGCTCTTCGAAAGCGCTTTTGGTGGAATCGAAAAAGGACTCGATTTCTTTCCATTGAATCGAGAGGAGAAGAAGGGAGTGAGCGTTGTCTTGGAGAGAATCTAGGGTTCGTTTGAAGTTGTGCTTGCTTAAATCAACAAGCCTTAACTCACTCATTGCCTTCTCCATCAAGCTACCTATAAAACTTAACCAACTAAACAAACCCTAAAGTATCACATACCTAAAGCAAAAAAAAAAAAAAATTCAAAAAAGGAACGAACTTGATTATGAATCTTCAACGGCTGCTGATGTATTGTTTCTCAGGATCGTCGTGTTCTGAATGAATGATGGATAAGAAGCCAAAGCAAAGTTTCGTTAAAAACTAAAAGCCCACCGTTTATATTATTTTATTGTTTTTGTGTCACCACTGTTATGTTTTTATAGGGGTCTCTCTCTTTTATATTGTGCTTCTGTAGCTTTTTTTTTTTTTTTTTTTTTTTTTT